CCCCCGTCCTCCTCGTCCTCCCCATCCTGCCTGTCCTCCCCTCTCCCTTCCGAGGTGCCAGGCCTGCCTTGCCGTCTGGAAGGGCATGCCCCCTGCCCACCTCACCTGCCCCTTTCACACCCAGAGGAGGTGCACGCAGCCCCACAGGTGTGATAACTCCATTGTTTCTCTGGGTAGAAGACCAGGGCTGAGACCTGCGTCCACCAGGACTGAGGTGTGGACCAGCAGGGATGGCAGCAGAGGAAACTGGGCACAGGCTGAGGCTTTGGGCTCGGTCCATCCCCAGGATCGCAAGGGAGCGTGCGTCACCCTAAGTAGCGGCCATGGATGTGTGGTCCTGCCATCCTCAGGGGCTGGCTCTGCCGCGTGGCCTGGATGCTGTGGCTGGTGACCGTTTTCATGGCAGCGTCCCCCGTCATCTCTGTTGGTGTCTGCTCCCCGCACGTGAAGGGCAGGTGCTTAATGGAGCCAGGCAGAAGAGAGCTGGGTCCTCCTGGAGAACTCCTTCTGGCTCATGTACCTGGACACACGCACGGGAGGACAGACGCCGACTGCAGCTCGGGAAGGGCGGCTCCATCCTGCTGGACCAGCGGAATCTTCCAGTCTCACGACACCCTCCGTGACCAGGGCCTCGCCCTCCAAGCTCCAGGATCCTCATCTGCAAAATGGGGCTCATCTTGGTCCCGCTGGGTGCGGCTCTTCCCAGGACCAGGAGAGCTGACCGACACAAAGGTTTCTGCCACAGCATCCCACGCTCAGTGGGCCTGTGGGAGAGCCAGCCATTGTTACCCTGAAGACTCTGGGATCCCTCCCAGTGGCCTGCGAGAGCACGGCCAGCGTGGCTTCTGGGGTGGCTAGGCGGCCAGCGTCGGGGGGCACAGAGCAGCGAGCCCCTCCAAGGAGGGGCAGCCTGTCCCGGGGAGGCCTGGGACCTCTGGGAGGCCCTCGGGCTCCAGCAGACACAGGGGAGAGGCCAGGAGGGAGCTGGGGCAGATGGGGCCAGCGGGTGGAGGGCAGCGCCTACAGTCCAGCTGCAGGAGCGGGCGGGGGCTGCAGGCTCTGATGAGCCACCCAGCACCGAGGCCCGCATGGACGCGAAGCCAGGCCCACTCCCACCCACGCCAGCCTCGTTCCTCACCCAACACCTCATTCATCTGTGTCCTGAGGCCGCTGCCACACGGGGCTTTCTGGGCACTGAGGCTTGCTCTGTAAATAGGAAGGTAAATCATGGAGCCGCCATCTGATTGACTCAGTGAAGCCGGCGGGGCGGGTGGCTCACCCCTGTGCCCAGTCCTCTTCCCTGAGTTTTCAGAGCTCCGTGCTGGGATTATCCTAATTGTGTAAGCCAAGACTTAAGGCTTCAGACAGAAAGCGATGAGTCCAAGCCTGTTCCATCTGCCAGCGTTCTGGGTGAGCTGGACCTGCACACCCCCATCTGGGGGAGGGGGGAAAGGGGAAGAGAGGGAGGGAGGGGACCCCTCTTCCCAGACTGGGCTGGCCGTGAACACAGGTTCCCTTGTATCTGCATGCACCCTGTGCGGGGGGTGCTATTATTGTCCCATTTCTGAGCTGAGGAAAGGAGGCTCAGAGAGGCAAAGCCATGCCCCAAGGTCACACAGCTTGGACCCAGTGGGGCAGAGATAGAAGTCCTGGTCCTTCTGACGTCCAAGCAGCAGATAGCCCTGGGCATCCCAGAAATGAGCAAAGTTCTGCAGTGGGTTAGGAAGTCATCACCGTGCAAACCCTGGAGGGGAGCTTGGTTGAATAAAATTCAGGTCTGGACAGCTGAAGGCCTCTGAGCCTCCTCCCCTGGGTGAGCACACTAACGCCTCAGGCGAGGCTGGGAGTCCACACGTCTTCCAAAGAAGATTCTGGCTGCTTCCGGGTGTCCGGGGTGTGGAGTCCTGACTGTGACCTGCAGAAAGCTGGTCCCCCGACCAGGAGGCCTCCGTCAGCCCCGGCCCAGGTCCTAGCTGGGTTTGCACAGTACCTGCCGCTCCCCTCGCCTACCCCACAATGGCCAGAACAACCCCAAACAGAGACCGACCGTTTATTTGAGCCCTTCTCACCTCCTGTTCCCCCAAAATGCATCCGGACCTGGGGAGGTGGTGGGAAGGAGCCTCCTTTTCAGTCCTCCAGGTCCCTCTTAGCACAGCCTTGCTCCTGGACTGTGGCGTGGACAGTCAGCCAAGAGGGCAGCACCTCCCCCTGAACAAGCCCCAGATGCAGGCCATCCCAACCATGTTTCTCCTGCTGAATCATCACCCCCAGCCCAGGGCCAGGCACTTCGGGCCTCAGCACTTCCCACTGAATAAATTTCATGGAAGGAAGCCCCAAGACATGAGTGGCAACAGCTTTTATGTGTCAGAGCAGGCGTCTCCAGACTCCCTCCATTTCCGTTCTAGAATTCAATGGCTACCATAACCCCCCATCCCCATTAGCTGACTCTAGCAGCGAAACCCTTGGAATCCACGTCCCAGTGGGAGTCCCATGCCACACACTCACAGAGAGCTCCCACGGCCAAAGCCTGGATATTAATTAGGATCCAGCCACGTGACGTGATGAGCAGTTCTGAGGCCTGGATCTTTGCTTTCACCTTTGAGCATGTGAATCATGTAAGTCTGGGCAGTCTGGAGCCATCTCTGTGTGCCTGGGCCTGAGGCACTGATAAATTCTGATTGATCCTGTATGCCTGAGTGGATGGGTGAGAGGATGTACACGTGGTGGGTGGGTATGTAGCCTGAAGAATGATTGCGCAAGGCTGGGAGAATGGATTGTGGTTGAACAATTGGATGAATGGTGGGTAGATGGATGGATAGAGAGGTGGGTGGATGGGTGAACAGATGGGTGGATGGAAAGGTGGGTGGGTGGGTGGATGGGTAAGCGGATGGATGGATGAGTGGATGGGTGGGTGAATGGATGGATCGATGAATGGGTGGATGGATAGGTAGATGGATGAATGGATGGAAGGATGGATAGATAGATGGGTGGCTGGATGTATAGATGGGTGGATGAAAAGGTTTGTGGGTGGGTGGGTGGATGCGTGGATGGGTAGGTAGGTGAATGAATGGGTGGATACATAGATGGGTGGATGGTTGGATAGATGGGTGGATGGAAAGGTGGGTGGATGGACGGATGAATGGGTGGATGGACGGATGAATGCATGAAAGGATTAATAAGTGGATGGATGGATGGGCGGATGGGTAGATGGATGGATGGGTGGATAGGTGAATGATGGATAGATGGATGATGGATGGATGAATGTATGGTTAGGTGTTTGGGAGGGTAGGTGGGTGGATGGATGGATGGATGGATGCATGGAAGAGTGGATGGATAAGTAGATGGGTGGATAGATGAGTGGAAGAAAAGGTGGGTCAATGGGTGGATGGAAAGGGGGGTCGATGGATGGATGGACGAATGCATGGAAGGATGCATGGTGGATGGATGGGGGAATGGATGGATGGAGGATGGTGGATGGGTGGCTGATTGGATGGGTGAAGGGATGGATGAACAGTGAATAGATGGATGATTGGATGGGTGGGTGGCTGAGTGGGTAAGCAGATACAATGGTATATGTGTTGTGGATGCTGGGTAGAAGGGGAGTGTCAATAACTTACATAAGTTTTTCTCTTTTTTTAGAGAGATGGGGTCTTGCTATGTTGCCCAGGCTGGAGTTGCTCAATCATAGCTCAGCTCAGCCTCAAACTCCTGGGCTCAAGCAATCCCCCTGCCTCAGCTTTCCAAGTAGCTAGGACCACTACATGCCACCATATCTATTATTGTTTTAGAGGTGGGGATCTTGCTGTGTTGCCCAGGCTGGTCTTGAACCCCAGGCCTATAGTAAGTCTCTTGTCTCAGCCTCCCAAAGTGCTGGAGTTACAGGCATGAGGCACCACACGCAGCCTTCACAGGATTTTCATATGCTTAGCAACAAAATCTAGGTAGCAAGTTGAGGGAAGAGGTTGTAGCATCAAAATGGTGGAGGTGGAGGCTTGAACAGTCTGGGACCCATGGGTAATGGAGAGTGAAGTGGCAGGTGCAGGGACCCCAGAAGCCACTGGGACATGGGCCCAAGAAGGTGCTGAGAGGCCTGCAGCCCAGCCCCGGTGAGGTCCTTGGAGGGCGAAGTCCTGCCACGAGGGCCGGACATGGCTCCCCTGCCTGTTTGCTGTCCTGCTGGACCGCACAGGGACGCTAGAGGCTCTATCCTCGGTATGAGGCCCCGGGGTCCAGGCTCCAGGCAGCACCTGTGACATCTTGCCCTGAGTCTTGCAGAATGGGCTGGGCTGTGGGTGGCGAGGGGAAACTGGTGGGCCGGAGGCTGGAGTGCAGCGGTGGGCAAAGGTGGGCTGGGGCGTCTGCCAGGGCCGGCCTGGAGGCCCCTTCCTGGGGCGGAGCCTGCGGACCCCAATGCCTTCAGTGTCGGTGGGTTCCTTTGCCCCCTCTGCCGTAAAGCCACCATGGACAGGGGGATGTCATCATCCCCTTTAAAGGAGAGGAACCAGGTCCCAGGAGCGTGGAACGACTTCTGGGGGCCTCCCCCCAGCAGAGGCAGAGCCAGCCCCGGCCCCCTGGCCACCTCCCTACTTCCGTCTCCACGATGGTTTCAGGGGGAAGTGGGCGTCGGCAGAGGCAGCCAGATGGCCCTTGGCTTGGCTGTCCTCATCACCAGCCCCCGGTCCCCTGGGGCCAGGCTCTATTTCGGGAGTGAGAATGGAGAGAGGCGGGGGAACCACAGCTCCCCAAGGGCCTGCTGCCTCACAGGAGTCATCTGAAAAATTCCTGCCATGCAGCCCAGAGGAGATGGAGCGAGTGTACAGTCCGCAGAGCCCCCAGCGCCGTGGATGGAGGAGGGGGGGGGGGTCTTGGGAGGAGAGCCTGGACTGGGAGTCAGAGGCCTGGGTACCAGTCCCCAGCGTCACTGTGCTCTCGGAGTGGGCAGAAGTGCCTCCTCTAGGCCTCGTCTTTGCTCCTAAATTGGCTCTGGCTGGCACTGGCCACAGTGTGGGGCCCCACACCTGGCACTCAACGGCAGGCCACCCCTGTGTGCAAGAGCTGTCGGCCAGGACCGGAGCTGGACGGGTCTGACCACCCCGTCTCCGGACGCTCTGTCAGCCAGGACCTGAGCTGGATGGGTCTGACCACCCCGTCTCCGGACGCTCCGTCAGCCAGGACCCGAGCTGGACGGGTCTGACCACCCCGTCTCCGGACGCGCCCTCGGCCAGGACCCGAGCTGGACGGGTCTGACCACCCCGTCTCCGG